TTCGATTATTTAATGTGCCTTCCTTGTATTCTAGGGAAGGAAAGACGAATTTATAATGGGCAGGAAAACCCTTACCTACTTAATGAAAAACTATAGGGCAACAATTCTATGGCACAGGATACACAGCTATTTGAGTCCCTCTATTATCTCAATACTTCTTTTACTATTTATCTCATTGAAATATATGTATTGTATTGTTCTTGGTAAATATGCCAGTTCATGTATATCTTGCTCAACACAAATTACTGATAAGATAAGCTTTGTACATTGAAAAATGACTAATGTACATTTATGCATTACATTTATTAGGTACAACATGAAATGAAATGAAACGAAACATAAATGAAGAATACATAATATTTATTATCTTAAGTAATACAAAACAACTAGGATAACCAATATTATTTTATAATAATCGTTTCAACAACTGTATTGTGAAATTAACTATGAACTAAATTAAACTGTATGGAACTTGTGCTGTACAAAGGCAAAATTGTTGGTCCCTATAAAGATTCACCCAAACTTGTGCCTATGTAAAATGAAAATGCAATTAAAATGAGGATAAAATATTGATAACTATTTTAAAACCTTTCCCATTAATTAATGTTTAAATATGGAAACATAGTGTACCAATGATAAACTTAACTACATATTGTGCTATAACATATTTTATACATTGTGCAATAAACAGTTTATAAATACAACAGCAGAAATTTTGTAACATCAATTATTAGTAATACATATTTTTATAACATTAACATCAAGTAGCAACAAATGGTGTTATGATAATTACACTGTCTAAAAATTTGTAAATATCAGTTCTTCGGGTTAATCTGGCCAATAAATAAGCTCTGTTTATATTTATTAATACTACTTATCACAAAATACATTAAACTGTACAATCAGTTGGCCACTTTACAGAGAATCTATGAAAGATTTTAGAATCTGAATTAGTTAAATCGCAATATTTCAATTTTAATAAAGTATTCTTTCAAAAATAGTGCTATGCTTTAGTATCAATAAACACTTTCATACATGTACCTATCAAAAATGTATCAAAATGGAATATAGAAAATTGTGCGTTATCAATAATCTCATGTTAAAAAAATATTTCAGTCATAATTTGGTCTGCATTAATAAGTAGGTACAGATTCACCTTTGTAGATACAGTAAATAGTAACTTTGAAGTTTAGGCATATTCCCGCTTAATTGTAGTATACATCATGTGATTATCGACCGGCATTGTTGGATTCGGTTACTGCCGGCGGCGCTGCAGCAGTGCCCGAGCCCCCAGAGGTAGCGTACACAATGATTATGATAAGCAGGACTGCACCTATAGCACCAATGATCAACATCATCTTCAAGTTTTGCCACCAATATTTTCGTTTCAGTTTCCCAGCCTGTTGTTCAAACTGCGCTGCCCCGTGCTGTAAGGCATCTGCTCGATTATCCAGTTCTGATAACTTCTGATCTCTTTCTAAAACTTTCTCGACATTGACACGCATAATACCAACAACTTCATCTACTTTTGCCTGGGTTTGTGCCAAACGTTTGTCACTCACTCTTGGTGCAGAACTTCCTCCTTGTTCTTCCATTTTGGTAGTTAAATAAAAATTACAAATTTATGAAAATCTACAACACAAAACAAAGAAAAAGTAAGGAACAGAAAAATAATGGCGAGCAATAAATTGGCAATTAGAATGACACATGAAATGACGTCACCAGTGTGGCCAACATAAAAATATTAATCCCTAAAACTATACTAAAACCCCCTAAAATCCCGCTATATTTTAAAAAATATCTCAATAGTGTCCGACTGAATGTTCGGTTTCGGTTTCGTTTTCGGTTGAGTTTCGGTAAAAACACGAGTTTCGGTTTAGTTTCGTTTTCGGCGGCAAACTTGCCGAAACTACGACCGAAACCGAATGTCCATTCGGGAGTTTCCGTGCCAATGTCGTGATCCGATCAGAGCCAATGTCGCATGTCGTGATTCGCTCGCTTGTTTGTTTGCTGTTAGTTTTTTTTGTTTTGTTGTGGTGGCGAGTTTTCGAGTGATTTATTTTGAATTTGGTAAGTTTTATCTCGTTATAACATAAGAGCGGGTCGTAAACATAAAACAAAAACATTCAATATGACTGATAAAACTATAATAAAGTTAAATATAACCTATAATTTTTTTTTGGTTTGCAAATGCTGTACGTAAACAAATATTAGTTAGGTAGTTAGTAATGACTATACATATAGTGCATTTCATGGTGATAATATTATGGATTCAGAGTTTCAAAGTTCATTTTAGTATAATTTATCACCAAGGTATCCAAGTGGCAAGTACAGTAGATACTAACTTACGTACTACCAATTTTGTTTTGAGACATTATTAAGTGTGGGACGGGTTATGTAGATGTCCTGTATATTGCGAGTAATTAAAAAAAATCTAGACTATAATTCCTTCTTTTTCTTTTTTAATACATAATTTGATACCTTTTAGAGTGAAAAGGCGCTTTATAAGTTCAATTTTAATGCAATTTAAAGAGAAAACAATAAAGACTGATTATAATAACGTTTTCTTTATTTTTCCCTCAAAATATGAGCCTTGTAAGGAAGTTTCGGTTTCGGTTTCGGTTTCGGCCGAAATAGACACCGTTGCCGAAATTCGTTTTCGGTTTCGGTCGTAAAACTAGTTTCGGTCGGACACTATATCTCAAAAAACAAAATGAATTGTTTTTTATTGATATTTTTATTTATTAATTTATTGAAAAGTCTAATATTAATCCACTAGTTGGAAAGAATCACATAACTTTCTTAAAAATATACAATTAACGACAGAGTGAAACTGTGTGAGTGTGTGAAGGCTCGGTGTAAAGATGAAGTATTTTGAAAAAATATGGAGTCTCAAAAAAATCCTAAACATCCATCCCATTTATTTTCCCCTTAGATTGGAGGGAAAACGTCTGAATTGGCAACACTAGACGTCACTCACACACGGTTATTGTCTATGCTATGCTATTTTGTGATATAGGTGTACCAGAATCTCATGGCAAATAGGGAAAATAAACTTTGTTGAGAGCAATACTGGGGAAATTGGAATAAACGATCTTGATACTATTTAATTTTTTACTTTTATGACTTTAATATTAATGAACATGAAGTACGAATATACATTTTAGGTAGGTATGTGTATGAAGAATGTTGTTATAAATAAATCGTATATTACTTAAAGTAACTAATTTTATTATGCACCATACTTTTATCACTTCATTCAGAACTAGAAAACGATTTTAAGAACTCCACTTGCATTTCTTGTTCTTCAATAGATGATCAAGATAAAGAGATATACCAAAACTAAAAAGACGGTAAAGTTTTTTTTTTAAATCGATCATTAAATGTCTGTGAAATTAATTATTTAAATTACCTACATACTTATTTTGGCGTGGAATTGGAACAGGCGGTGCCGTTCTTTTTGTATAAATGGCCAGGTCTGGTATATTTAAAAAAAGGTTACAAAATTTTACTAAGAAAGAATCTTGAGTGACTTAAAAAAATAGAAATAGATTTTAAAAAAATATGGATCTGTCAACAGCACTGGATCAGGGGTGATTTACTGTTTGTACCCCAAATGACTGTCGTGCGTGAATACACCAATCAAAACGTCGTGAATAGTTATGCGCAACTTTAGGGCCCTGTAACTTATTTATTTGTAGATATATTTTCATGATTCTTTCACAATAATTATTAGTTTTACTTATATTTATTTCAAGTTTATTTAAAAGAAAAAAATTAGAAACTTCTCCATTATTCAATCTTGCTTGATGAAATCTTTTTCAATTTTCTTTACATGGTCATAACATTTTGACAATTCCTCTGCACCAATTTGTGAGATATACCTGAAAACATCGATAAAGCAGCTACTAAGTAAGAATAAAAAAACATAACCCTCCTTCTGACGCAGTTGGGTAATAAGCTAAATGTATCAAACATTTCAGTCCAACTCACTGTCAACTCGACGGCGCGTTTAGAATCAAAGATTGACTTTGAATTATGCCTTATTTTACAATTCACATTGAAAACAATATGACTTGCTTGAGCTTTTTCGACTTTTTCACAAAAATAACAAATAGTAAAGAAGAGATTACAAAATTTTTGCAGCGACTGACAGATTTCATAATTTTCTTTGACAGGTGACAATTAAACCATAGACAATTGCCATATGAAAAAGACACTTTTCCAATATTTTTGTTTGCCATGAGATTCTGGTACACCTATAGCTCACCTTATAGCTCACTGGGCCCCGATTGCGCTAAAAATTTTCAACTGCATTGCGATTGGACGACGAACGATAATCAGCTTTTTACAAATGCGTATCGCGGTATCGTTTAGAGTTAACTTATGACAGCTAATTCAAAAGATGCTGAAATGTAAGCGGAGCGCAACAGCGCAACAGCGTCTTTACGTAAAAGCTGACGTGACAGAAATTTACTTTCTCTCAAGTCTCAAACGAACGTCAAATGCATCACGAACACGTTTGTGGATACAGCACCGCTCGCGCTCGGACCGAACATTGCACATTGGATTGAGCTACAATTAGCTCTTTGATTAGCTCGCTGTACCGCACCACTACATTTCTTAATACTCTATGGCATAACTCTTTGTCTTTGTTTGCTAGCTCTTGCTTTTTTTCACAGATTAGAGAGTATGTCTAAAGACAGATAGGAAACGGCCCTAGTATTGGTTGAACGATAAACAAACTGGTACCGAGCTAGATTGTCCAGTAGGTGGCGCTGAATACAATATGGCGTTTGCCGCCCACAGATTAAATATACCTGTCATACTTTTTTATGATCCGTTCCTTTTCATGTATTGCGGTTAAAAATAAAACTATTGAAGTATCAAATGAAACTTTATTGATGAAATATAACATGAAATATTTTGTATATCAATAAGTATTAAAACTATTGGATTTTAAAAGATTACAGTTACTATTGTGATTACAGTACATTGTTTCAGTTTTTACTCACGGCTTGACATTTGTATGTAACTCATACAAAATAAGTTGCGTTATGACTTATAGTAAAATAGTTTAATGTTCTCCATAAATTCACACGTTTACTCTCACTTTGGTTCTGTCCAATCCAATAGCCACTGTAAGCAGGCCAGATCTACACGTTTCTCACCACCTGTAAAATATAAATATTATTAATTATAAAACTTTATAGCACAATAAAATAGTACAAAAGGTGGACTTAATGCTATTTGAGCATTCTCAGCCAGTCGACCCCTGGGTTATGCAGAAAGCTGTGAGTGCGAAGGTAGAGGCAGAAGGGTAGAAGTTAAAATTGAACTTATTTTTTTAATTGATATAATAATTATTTAAGATACGTAATTATAAAATATTTGTAAATTTAGAGCAAAAAGATGCACATGTCACCGTAAGACTGTAATCTCCCACATCATCTACATTCTACACTAATATTATAAAGAGTACAGCAGATAAACAAGTGATCTGTCTTATCTACCATACCTACCTACTGTCTGTTTTGTTTCTAGATTTGCACTACTTTGTTAAATAAAATTAATTTACCTTGTCAAATGTGTACTTGTCAATCAATTACATGTACATTCACAGAATCTGGATTCCACCAATCTGTAATTAAATAATTAACTTTTAGATCTTTCTATTTGATCCTAGTCGAAAAGCGTCAGAGGATAGGTTTAGAATAATTTTGAGGGTGTTTTAAATTTTAAAGGTACTTACCAAATGTTCTTATCAACAGAAGTTGTTTTAATAGTTATCTGGGTAATTCATCCAATACAGATCTTCCTAATTTAATGCATTTATGTCATGGCATAACCTGCAAATGAAATGAGTTCATCGTTTGTGATCAAGCATTCTTGGTCTGGTTTTATTGCTTATAAAGGTTTCTTCTAAACTTATTTGAATAGGAAGTAAAGGTTGGTTCATCTGGATTTTAAGTAACAGTTGACAATAATGAGCAGCACCGGTGATTCCATAGCAAGCACTTTTATTGTAATTACAGCTTAACACCTTATAAGTTCGAAGTTCGATATTAATCTGAAACAAATAGGTACTTAGATTCACTGTATAAAACACGTATCATTCACTGTGTCCTGCAATCTATGCCTGCAATGTACCTACGTGTATTGTATTTTGGGTCCAAACTCCAAAGTATGTTGTTACTCCATAAAACGATCCATATTTAGTTTTCATTGATTTAAATGGAGTTATGAATGATATTGTAATGAAGAATTAATCCTTAGTGTGGTTCAATACTTGATAAAACATTGCTGCAAGCTGCAATAACCTTTCTCGAGTGGATATCTTACTTGAGAGAAATTTCTTCTTGAACAAACATCAATCCAACAGGCAATCCATGCACATGTAATTCTTATTAATAATGATTGAGAAATTAATGATTTTAATTAGATAAAATTTGTTTAAAGAAAAACACGTTTTTTCGATGAAAATTTTTGACGTTTATTTTTTTAATAATGTCACAGTTGTAGACTTGAGACGGAACTAAAGGGATTATAGTGAAAATTATTACAACTTTTAATTAATATACTTTTAAATAATCATTTCATTTATAGAATGCAATAGATTCAATAAAATAATTCATAAATAAAAGTTGAGTTGTAATTCGAAATTGTTTACTAACTTGATTCCAGACACGCAAAAGACCATTGTCGCATACAAAGAACAACTATAAAAAAAGTCACTTCCTCTCGGAACTGTAAAAAAAATTCACTCTCTATGGAGCTGTCAAACTCTATGGCGTTTCCACCCCGTGCTTTTTTTGACATAAAATTTTTTGGCTGCCGGAGTTTGTGTTCGGCTTCAAGAAATATTCAATATTCGTGTACTTTATATAATTAAACATCAAAATGGTTAGTAATTAATGAAAATTTATTCATTGATCTATAGTCAAACTGCAGTCAAAAGTCCGAAAAACTAGAAACTTCTCCTTTTTCAGTAAATAATGTTACTGGTGTCGGCCCGTATACTGTTGCACATGTGACTTACTAACTGAATGATTCATCTTCAGGTTTCGCTAAACCCGATAAGAATTTTGAAAAATGAAGCAGAAGAAGAAAAAGCTGAAGTAGCCCGTATGTCCAGCTTTATTGGGGCAATCGCTATTGGTGATTTGGTCAAAAGCACCTTGGGCCCCAAAGGAATGGATAAAATCTTGGTTTCTTGTGGCAGAAATTCGGGCCAGGTGTGTAATTAAATGGAAAAAAATGTTATAAATATTACCATTTGTGTACATCTAAGTAATAGAAGAATGTAACAAACATAACCTCAAAGGCATTTTCTAATTTGTGAATTATTTATTTCAGGTTGAAGTCACAAATGACGGTGCCACTATCTTAAAGTCCATTGGTGTTGATAATCCTGCTGCCAAAATTTTAGTAGACATGGCTAAAGTTCAGGACGATGAAGTTGGAGATGGAACTACTTCAGTAACAGTATTAGGTATATTATTATAATTATATAGTATTTACTAAACCACGTCGGGAAATGAAAAGGTCTTCTTGATTATTGAGTCTAAAACCTCAATTTTGGTTTTCAGCTGCAGAATTACTCCGCGAAGCTGAAAAACTTATTGAACAGAAGCTGCACCCTCAAACCATTATTGCTGGATGGCGCATTGCGGTAGATGCCGCTAAGCAGGCTCTGGCGGAAGCCAGTTTTGATCACAACAAAAACTTCAATGATGCTGCTCTCCGAGCTGACTTGGAAAACATTGCTCGCACCACATTAAGCTCAAAGATCTTGTCAAACCACAAAGAGTAAGTTATTGCATTAATAAATTATTATCATGGGATGATTATTTATTAGGAGAGCTTTTGAACGAGAAAATATTTTGTTGTTCTTATAAACATGTTTCATGTTTGATTTGACTTTTTAGGCACTTCACTAAGCTGGCAGTCGATGCAGTTCTGAGGCTCAAGGGGTCTGGCAACCTCAAGGCTATTCAAATCATTAAAATATCTGGTGGTTTATTGGAAGAGTCATTCTTGGATGAAGGTTTTCTACTCAATAAGAAGGTAAAGAAAAATATCTTTTGTTTTTCTTGTTGATAGAAAAGTACACAAACTTTTACTATATATTTTTTTTAAATAGGTTGGTGTACATCAACCGAAACGCGTTGAGAATGCAAATATTCTGATTGCCAACACTCCCATGGACACAGACAAAATCAAAGTATTCGGCTCCACAATCAAGGTTGACTCTATGGCTAAAATCGCTGAGCTTGAAGTTGCTGAGAAAGAGAAAATGAAAGAAAAAGTAAACAAAATCTTGGCACACAAATGTAATGTATTTATTAACAGGTGGGTTACTCTCATTTAATATTCATTTGATATCAATAGTCAAATAAAAACAGGTAAAAATGGATTAAATTATGATCTTTATTTTACTTCTTCCTTCCAGACAACTGATCTACAACTACCCCGAGCAGCTTTTTGCCGATGCTGGTGTAATGGCTATTGAACACGCAGACTTTGACGGCATTGAAAGGCTGGCTCTTGTCACTGGTGGTGAAATTGTCTCCACATTCGACTCACCAGACAAAGTCAAGTTGGGCCACTGCAAAGTTATTGAGCAGGTAATGTAATATTGCAATATTACAGTTACACTACATTTAACTTAAGAAATTTAGTAGCTCATTTATTAATTCAGACTTAAATAAACTTCACAATACATAGTAGACAGACACCTTATGTGAACTCTTTACTCTTGCAGTTTGTCATATAACAGCTATATGAGAAACTGCAAGAGTCAAGACTTGTCAATTTTGTGTATTTATTTCCAGTTTGCCTAGTACATTGTAAGCTTGATTTTTATGATTCTGCATTGGTCCTATAAAACTGATGTTGGCACTTGTGTACCTATTGTTGAGTTATAGTAAACATTTATGGTGACTTTTAGCCTAAGCGCAGACCACCGACTTTCAGTTGGCCGATAGTTTGATCAATTTCCAATTTGTATGAAGAATCGGCCGATACCAAATCAGTGTAGTGTGCGCATTTCCATACCCAACTATCGGCCAACTAAACATCGCTGATCTGCGCGCACCTAGGCTCATGGTGGCTTTTAAAGTTTTAAAAGTGGCTTATGACGTCAGTTTTTTAAGAAAGACAAAAGAAGATGACTAAATTACATAAACAAATGCAGGTGCTGATCGGAGACGAGTGCCTGATCCGTTTCTCCGGCGTCGAGCTTGGTTCGGCGTGCACCGTGGTCATCCGCGGCGCCACGCAGCAGGTCATCGACGAGGCCGAGCGTTCGCTGCACGATGCATTGTGCGTGCTCGCCGCCACTGTGAAGGAGCCCAAAGTTGTCTATGGCGGAGGTGAGTGGACACTTTCTTAAATAATGTAATACACTTATCAAGTTATCAAACTATAGTACATAATTTGCTGCTAGACGAAAACGGCCCCCAAGTAATTCTCCGAAGACCTGTCCTGCGCTGCCCGCATCCAGTGTCATAGATCTACCGCATGTAGTTGTGTATTTAGTTATGTTTACTGTTTTTAAAGTTAGGGGCAATGCTGTCTGTCTTTTTTGTTGTAGTTCCTATTGTTAATGCTCACTTTGAGTGAGCATGATAAATTAATATGAATTCTAAACTGTAAATACTTGTATGACATAATTCTCTCTCAAAGAAGTTCCAATTTCGATCTTGCCAAATCTACAACTTCAACAAATTGTTCTAGGTGCCAGCGAGATGTTAATGGCCGAAGCCGTATCGAAGGCGGCCGCGCGTACTCCAGGCAAAGAAGCGGCGGCGACCGAAGCTTTCGCCGTGGCGCTACGCCGACTGCCGTCTGCCGTGGCCGACAACGCTGGTTATGACAGCGCCGAGCTCGTCGCGCGTCTGCGGGCCAGCCACGCGCAGGGCGAGAATACTATGGGACTAGGTCAGTGGTTACTACGTCACACGTCATACTATAGGAGGCGACACAGGGCGAGACCACCATGGGGCTAGGTCAGTGTCTGATTACTACGTCACGCGTGAAACAATAGGAGACCTTGGCCGTGAGATGGGGACACCAAGGGCCTAAGTTAGTGCTCGCTCTGTTACTACGTCACACGCTAAGGAGGCGGCGTCTGAGCCTTCGCCGTGGCGCTGCGCCGGCTGTCGTCCGCCGTGGCCGACAACCCTGGTTACGACAGCGCCGAGCTAGTCGCGCGTCTGCGGGCCAGCCACGCGCAGGGTGAGAACACTATGGGACTAGGTCAGTGGTTGCTACGTCACACGTCAGACTACGTGACTGAAGCCTTTGTGGGATGGTGACGCTGATACCATGACACTAGGTCAGTGGTCTGGTTGTTACGTCGCTACGACAGCGCCGAGCTCGTGGTGCGTCTGCGGGCCAGCCACGCGCAGGGCGAGAACACTATGGGACTAGGTCAGTCAGTGGTGTGGTTATTACGTCACACGTCAGTCTATAGGAGGCGACGCAGGGCGAGACCACCATGGGACTAGGTCAGTGGTCTGGGTGCTACGTCACACGTCAGTCTATAGGAGGCGATGCAGGACGAGACGACTTTTGGACCAGGTCAGTGGTCTGTTACTACGTCACACGTCAGACAGTAGGTGGCGACTGAAACCTTGGCCGTGGGATGGGGACACCATAGGAGTAGGTCAGTGGTCTGGTTGTTATGTCAATCGTCGGTAGGCGACTGAAGCCTTTGCCGTGGCATGGGGACACCATGGGAGTAGGTCAGTGCTCTGTTGTTACTACGTCACACGTCAGACAGGCGGTGACTGAGCCGTCGCCATAGCGCCGTGGCCGACAACGCTGGTTATGACAGCGCCGAGCTAGTCGCGCGTCTGCGGGCCAGCCACGAGCAGGACGAGAACACTATGGGACTATTTTAGTGATGTAATTTTATAAGCAACTAAATTTTATACATGCTATCGATTTCTCTTTAGATATGTTTAAGTCGTTACCCGTAGCTAACAATCTAATCTCCTTTATCAGACATGGAGAACGGCCGCGTGGGCGACATGAAGACACTAGGCATCACCGAGTCCTACGTAGTGAAGCGCCAGGTTCTGCTCTCAGCGTCCGAAGCCGCTGAGGTCATCTTACGTGTGGACAACATCCTCAAGTCGGCGCCGCGTCGTCGCGGACCCGATCGTCGCCCATGCTAAGCACCGGAGTTATCTTATATCCAGCTTATCGTTATAACGTCTAATACGATGAGAGCTTGTCAGATCGTGTTGAATAAACATTAAACTTCAACTGGTTTGAACGTATACTATTTTGCTTCACGTAATCACAACAGGAGTCAATTTATTGACTTCCTTTTAACATTTAATTAAATGAATGCACTTGATTTGTCAAACTAAACATTTATTTGTGATGAATGAGAAATAATTATTTTTATGTCACAATTACATTTTATTTGTGATTAATTTTAGTTGGTTTTAGTATTGCTAGAAGAATACAAATGACGAAGAACTGCAAGATAATTTTCATGAATAGGCTTTAGTTTCTATCGCTGCAGGTGCCTTTATGTATTAACTATTTAGATTTAATAAAAACTTAACACACGAAATATTGAAATATTTTTCATTTATTGCTTAGTTCTTCCTTATCAAAAAGAAAAAGATATCATTTTCTGAGTGATTCTCAACTACCCTCCCGTAGGTTCGGAACTCGATACGCTTTAGCCTAGGCGCAGACCGTGGATTTTTCGTCGGCTGATAGTTTAATCGGGCAGTTGATCAACCCACCACCACCCATGGCCATGCCAACCTTGCGGTTATAACTGGCCGAATCGCGGGAGATGCGCGCGGAACTGCGTCTGCCGTAGCAGGTTGCACTCTGCCGCGCGCAACGCTTGACTCCCTACAAATTCTTTGATCTATATCCTTGTCCCTATGCGCTACTCTCCCCGTTCTGGGGCTGCGACTATCACAATACAGGTGGCACCCTATGGCGCCGAACTGTCCGGTGCTGTCCTCCTCACATGCCACTTGTACGCGAACGCCTTGAGCCGTTTGAAGTTCGCCTCTGACGCAACTAGATCGGGGTACCAAGCGGGGCCGTGTGTCTCCAGCACGACTCCCTGCAGCAGCTCCTCGCGTATGTCCCTATATAGGGGACAATCCCACAGTATGTGGTGACGGTCCTCCTCGAGCTCACCGCAATCGCAGCTCGCACTGTCCCTCAACCCCATGTTGCACAGCCGCTTGTTAAAGCAGCCGTGCCCCGTAAGAACCTGGGAAGTCACATAATCTGGTTCGACCCAGCGCATGCTGAGTCTCCCAGACACGTCGGGGAAAAACTGATGGAGCTCCCGACCCTTCGTCTCTCCCTCCCACCTGGTCTGCCAAGTATGCACGACTGACTCCAAAATTTCGCGTTTTCGCCTGCTCATCTCGTCCCTGGCCGCGGTCTGGCGTGCCACCTCCGTGCTGCCAGCCCGGATCACCTCGAGGTCCGCGGGTAGTACGCCGGCAAGCACCGGGAGCGCGGCTGTGCTGACCGACCGATAGGCTTTGGTCAGTAGCACCAGTGCAGGCCGCTGCCCCCGGAGAAGGGTGCCGCATACGGATTGCACCCGAAGGCGCTCGTGCCAGCAAGCCGATGCATACGTAAGGGTTGCAACGAAAGTGCCCTGGTACAAGATACGTAGGCCATGATATCGAATGCCCCAGGAAGACGCCGACACGCGCGACATCTTCCCGAAGCATTTGGCCGCGCGATCTACGATCCCTTGCGCATGCATCGTAAACAGGAGACCGCTGTCGATTACCACTCCTAGCACGGTTGTGGCGTTCACTGATCGGATCGAGGCACCCTCAAAGCGAATGACCGGGGGTCTCTGGAGTTTTCCCCTGATCGTCATCGTGGATGACTTGGCAGGGGAAAAGCCCAGTCTGTTCCGGACGCCCCAGTCGGTCACCAGACTTAGGGTCTCGGCGGCCGCTGCTTCAATGGCAGCCCTCGAGTTTGCCTCGATCAATATGGTGACGTCGTCGGCGTAAGCCACCATGCTGACCGGGCAGTTGATCAGTATGGGTATGTATGGAAGTGCGCACGTTACACCGATTTAATTTGGCCGATTCTTCATACATTTTAAAATCGGGCACAACTATCGGCCAACTAAAAATCGGTGGTCTGCGCCTAGTCTTAGTTACAAACATCGTTGTATACCGAGTAATACATGGTGCGCTAGTCTCACTAAAATAGGTGAAAAACCCACGCTTAAACCAATTTCATGGATGAGGGTCTAGACCCTGATACTAGCATCGAGATTCGAGAGTAGGTAAGCCCTAGGCATAATAGGGCAATCCTCGCCCAATTTGACAGTGCAATAAAGATGAACACATTATGTATTATACCTTGTACTCGTAATAAACTTGCCTTATTTTTTCGAAAATGCGGTTGTTCTGGTAAGTAAGTAGGTACCTACTATTTAATACGCTTCTTTAAAAATATATATTTTATACATATCGAAGACTGTGGCGCGTGAAGCTCGTGAGATTTTTGTAGTGCAGATAGGACAGTTTTCACCATCTAAACACCTCGAGGACTCACTGGTACAGTCAGGGTCAAATAGTTCGTGACACCAAAAATAGCCAGAAAGTTGACAACAAAACCTCATGATGTGATCATCATGTTGTGAACTTTTTGGCTACTTTGGGTGTCATCAAATATTTATTTGACGCTGACTGTACCAAGTAAGTAACATACATAGTTCTAATACCGAACAAGTCAGGCAGCCGTCAAACAATATTGTAGTAACACTACATTATTCACGGTGAACATCATGTTAACTTTACGGACAGTAGGCAACGAAGGCACCACTCAGAGAGACAGGTAATAACGAATCGCACTTGCTCCACCGTTTGCATAATTTAGTGCCAACCGGATTCACTAACGCTACTGACAGATTGATTACTGGAGTACGAGTAGGTATACAGGTTGATTCTTTCAAGGATGCGTTGTTGGCCTTTTATACTGCAAGAAATATACAGGGTGGTCGACTACACGCAAGTTCACGCAACATGTCATTGGTAAGTGATGATGACTTATACCTAATTACTCTCTGCTCCACCACGAATGTCATATTCAAATTACTTATTTATTACTAGCGGCCGCCCGCGACTTCGTACGCGTGAATCCCGTTTTACCCCCTTCATCTATCTTACGCGTTTTAGATTTTTTCATACAAACGTTTTTTCCCGCTAACTCCCGTTCCCGTGGGAATTTTGCAATATCCTGTTGTAACTAAGCTTTAAGTTTACTAGGTACCTGCATGCCAAATTAAAGTACTTAATCAAAGTACCTAAGCTACGTCCCTTCCAAATTTAACCATTAAGGCTGCACACGCGACGGAAGCTTAAAAAATGGAGTTACTTCTCCCGTTTCCCCAAAAATTTCCCTTTACTTCTCTGCTCCTAAGTATACTATAACCTGCCCAGGAGTATGAATAATAATAGTACCATGTTTCGTTAAAATCCGTCGAGTACCTACTTTTTGTTTCTATAAGGAACATACAGACAGACAGACAAAAATTTTACTGATTGCATTTTTGGCATCAGTATCGATCACTTATCCTGCTTTCGCCTCCGAGATTTATTTTACCGAGTAGTACCCCTGTACGACAAGCCTATCCGCACACAATATTCAGCGTAGTAGTAGTAAAAAACAAAAGAGCGGGCAACCCCACCCCTACCACGCTGTGGGCTCGGTGTCCGAGCGGTCTCATTCCTTTGTGCGCACGCGCAACGACCGCACGCAGTATAAGAAAAATGCTTAAGTGACGTCACCAGGACGTTTTTACCGACAAAAAACGTAATTATTTTAAGTTGTGCAGTGTAGTGACGAGAATTAGACCCAACACAAGGTTGGTTGTAACAACTATTTTGTGTAAGTGCTCGTACATTTTTATTATAAGCGTTGTGACACGACGCGTAACTTTGACCCATTTTTAGCTCCAAGTTAACGCGCGATGTTAACCAGTAGCCATTTTTTCAATTAGCCAGTGTGCTGGATAGACAGGATGCTCTGTCAACTGTCTTGGCAACTTTTTACAATCAGTAGTCGTACTTAACAGTTAATAGAAGTACAAATAAATGTATATAATAATACTCTATAATGAACAAAATCTTGTTGAGACCGTGATACTTGTTATTGTTATGAATAAGTGATGCAATACGATTATAATACAAAAATATTGCTTTATTATGTATTTAGTACATTGACATTTACTCTCTTAACCATTTAACATGGACATTGATCCATGCTCTAAACATCTACACGGTAAAATAAATCTCGGAGGCGAAAGCAGGATAATTAGATGATCAAACGAACTTACCAAGTGAAGTTCGATCTGAATTATCCTGTTTTCGCCGAAGAGATTTAAGGTCCCTCCCAACCCGAAGATTTCTATATCTTCTTCCCTGGAGGTAAACGTCAATGTCATCTCTTCTCTAAATATAATGAGACCGCTCGGACACCGAGCCCACAGCGTGGTAGGGGTGGGGTTGCCCGCTCTTTTGTTTTTTACTACTACTACGCTGAATATTGTGTGCGGATAGGCTTGTCGTACAGGGGTACTACTCGGTAAAATAAATCTCTTCGGCGAAAACAGGATAATTCAGATCGAACTTCACTTGGTAAGTTCGTTTGATCATCTAATAATCACCCCCTGATAGTTATTTTGAAAATATATTTCATGTACAGAATTGACCTCTCTACAGATTTAATTATAGTATAGATTACAGACAACTTGGGTAGGACTTATTATTTCAGAGTAATAGTTAAAAAGTACTGTGTAATGTTTCATCATCATCATTTCAGCCATAGGACGTCCACTGCTGAACATAGGCCTCTCCCAATGCTTTCCATGTTGATCGATTGGTAGCGGCCTGCGTCCAGCGCTTTCCTGCTACCCTTATGATGTCGTCGGTCCACCTTGTAAGTGGACGTCTCACGCTGCGTTTTCCGGTACGCGGCCTCCTTAATGTTTATTATTTTTAAATCAAATCAATTCATTTTTTGTATCACTATATACTTATAGTGGTAATTTAAATAAATAGGTAAGAGTAAGTATCTACCTACTTAAAAGTTAATCTAAAACGAATTACACAACGTTTTGACTCTCCGTATCTCTTACCTCTACCACGTCCCCCCCAGCTTGTAATAATATTATTATGTCTCTTTACAAGATAAACAAACTCGTATTGCAGTTATGCATAGTATACTAAGTATCTAAGTACCTACTACAAAACAAAAAATCTGTTAAAATCAATCTGTTTTTCTCTCCATCTAGATTCTAGATTGATTTCACTACTTTTGTACAGGTATCGCTCTAGCTCTAGGTAGGTACAAACGCGCGTAAGAATTGACTGAAAATCCTTTTCGCGAGAAATGTTCGGCCATTTGAAACGGAACGATAATGGAATTTTCCCTTATTATTTGATTTACCTGGTCCTTCAATTTTATGTCGGTGCAATAGTGTTATCCTCTTGTTACTACGAGTCCGGTATTCAACACGACTGGGTCCATGTATTTTGTTATTCAGTTTCCCTTATAAGAAAATTACATTTTATCACACAGCTTTGTATTAAAAGCCGGCATTAAATACTTCTTACCTTTAAAGTTGTGCACTCATGTTCAAATAGGAATCAGTTTTTTTATTGTACAAAGTGTTTAATTGAAATCATGAAAATCTACGTTTCCAAACATTGCGTCGTTCGATTAACGATTAGTTTATTAGAGGAAATAATTTTCCTGCCAACAACTATTAATAGGTTTTGAGGCTTCAAGGTGAATGTTATGGAAACAAACAGCTATTTATTATCATGGTAAAATAGCCGTACTTAATGTAACTTTGATATTTAAGTAGATAGGCGGTTAACCCGCTGGGCGGGCGCCTGCGCCTCGCGTCGAAAAGACATCAAAATAATCATTTTGCCGCATTGAAATAGTCTGCCAACATGCGATTGTTGTTTATGGAAAAAGGCAATTCAAATATTGCTATAATTATGAGTCGTTTCCACTGAGGCTAATAAAGCTCACGTACCCAAGGTTTTGAAGAAAACATTTAATTTTCTGTTAAAGGAAAACTGGTTCAGTAATGTTATGACTTTCCTTTAGCCTACAACTATTAATAATTATGACGATAAGCTTGTTCGAAACCATTTAGGCACAAACTCAACTCAATCCTACATGCATAAGTAAAGCTATGATATAAATTATTCTGATACACCTACTCTACTTATCACATTCATCAGCCAAGTTACCTGAATCGAGCTGATGTATAAACCTGTTTTGTAGAGTCGAATGATGTATGCGGCGGAACTAGGAATAAATAAAATAAAAATAAATCTAAGCCCGGTCCTACAAAGGCGAGTCGCCTTGCTGAATTGACTGTGACACAGAAAGGCAAACATAAATAGGACCCTTTTACGTATAGTGTTACTTTTGCCGGGGCGAATCGGTGCGAACCCGACTCGGAACTGACAGCTCGTTCATTTTTAACTCCCACCCTTGCTTCTATACCGGAGACGACAATTTGGATAAATGGTACATCCGCCGCCGCCCGGGTAAATTATTCAGGCCCGCCTCCTGACATAACTTCTTCACATGACAACGAGCACAATAAAGTGGAATATTTAGAGAGTTATCACGCACGCACCGCGCGGCGGCCGGAGTGGCTCGCGGAGGCTTCCGGGCGCCATCTTCAACAATGGCATTTCTATTCCCGTCGTAAGATCTTTGTGGAGCATGAATATTAGGTGTACTCTGCGCTCGCGTTGAAGCGCCTGCATGCCTTTATCACTTTTATGATCCCGCCGGGGAAAATGAACTCAATAAAAATGGATTGGTTGCTTGTGAAGTGACACGCTTGTCGCTAACAAATTACTTAATTAAAATTAGCTTCACAAACTCATAACGAGGAACACTTACATAACTGTTTTTAACATTTTTAACACGAAAGTTTTTATGAATGGTAAATGATTGTTTTTCATCATGTAAAACTACTGTACCTTTACAATTTTATTATGGCTCTACATTCGAACGACAATGTTAGTCGTGATTGAATCATTGAATCCCCTGGGGGAAATAGATTGATGAATAGGTACGAAGAGATACCTACATTCAGAGTTAAGATGTAGTCGAGTAGTTAATTTTGTTGGTATGATTTATCTTTCTGAAAATCTTGAAATATAAAGAAGTAAAAGCAAGTTAATAAAATTTTCACCCTTGACATTCACATCTCCCTCTCCTAATTTGTGACTGGCACCATTAAAATAATTCTTGACAACACCTAGATTTTCCTGTCTCCGCTTTTGTAAGATTAAAATTGCACTTGCTAGATAGACGGCAGTAATCACCAGACCATTGTGATCCGAGCAAAGTTACAAGCTTCGTCGGAATAGTT